AAAGGAAGAATGAGATGTTGTAATACAATTATAATCACAAAAATTAACAATTAATTTAGTAAGAATTATTTTCATAAATTTTCTTTCCTCTTCAACATCTGGCACAAATTTTTCAACTGCAGTCCAAAAGGAATCTCCTCCATGATAGCATAAATGGACGTGAGTTGTTAATAGGTCAAAATTCATTAGTACTATCATTTTATTCCACATCTTGGATAATATTTTCACAATCTCCTAAAATTATGCAAATTTTCTCCTTACTACTTGAACAATAGAATAAAACTTATATTCATGCTGAAAGGTTGCATGACTCCACCATCTGAGAAGAGAAGGGAATTCTAATTTTTCCATCTTTTCTTTCAAAGGCAAGAAGCCACAACAGACACATCCCTAAGGATCCACATGCCCCAGCCCGTGTGCCTCATTGAGAATATGAAAGGACAACTGAGAGCCAACCAGAAGGCCCTGGAGATCCTGTCTGCCATCACACAGCCTGTGGTAGTGGTGGCGATTGTGGGGCTCTACCGCACAGGCAAATCCTACCTGATGAATAGGCTGGCTGGGAAGAGATCAGGTGAGTGCCGCCAACAAAGCTCTGCTGTGCCCCCTCTGTTCAGCCACATCGTGAGGCCTGGTTGTGAGGAGGAAAGTTAGAGAAAGAGGTGGATTCTGAAATCCAATGTCCTACCTGGTTTAACTTTTATATCGATTCTATTTCAGGGAGTAAGTCAGCTCTATGATGCTCTTTACTCCATCTTCAGTTCCATTTTAAAAGCAAAAATCATTCTATCCTAGGAGAATATATCAATAAGAAAAATTAATTTACATAATTTAAATACTAATTTGTAAGAAGCTCTAAGTCATTCATTAAAACACTAAGGAGAGGCCTAGAAGATGACTCAGCAAGTAAAGGACCTTCCTGCATAAGCCAGGCAACCTGCATGAATAACTAGACAGGAGAAAGAGAGAGTTGTCCCCTACAGAGTTGTCCTCTAACAGTCACACACACACAATGACACACAAACCCAAATGCACATCATGTATACACAAATGCTCACACAATCATGATAATGATTTTTTTAATCAGTGAGCTCATAAGTAACAGGAAGTTTCACCTGATTTTTAAAGCTTTAAAAGTGTTTCGAATCAAAGATTTTTAGTATCATGATTTAATATAATATAGAATCATCGCTTCTGACCATTTTAATCTCAGTTCTGTAGCATTAAGTAAATTCATATTATTGTTATATCATCACTTTTATATGTATTGTTTTTTTTCAAGACAAACTAAGTATCAATCCCACAACAGTTATATATTTCCCATTCTCCATTGTTGTTCTGTAATCTGTTCTTGACAGGTAAGGAAGGCATTCTTGTCAGAATGACCTAAGATAAACTCAGTCTTGTTAATGAAGTAAAAAAGGGGGAGAATCGGAGAGCCTTTGGGGCAGCTTGGCAAGAATCTGACATGGGCCAAGGACAAGGAAATGGGCTGCTTGGCAGGAATACGACATTGGCCAAGGACAAGGAAGTAGGCTTCAGGCAGAAATCTGACATTAGGCTAGAACAAGGAAGTAATTTCAGACAGCAATCTAAATTTTAGGCTAGAACAAGGAAGTAGGCTTCAGACATGAAAATGACCTTGGACAAGGACAGGGAAGGAAGCTCAGATACTTTGGTCATCCTGATAAGCCCTTAGAAACAGTGGTCAAGGGAGTGTTCATGTAATTGGTTTTAATGCCTTGCTTTTTCTTTGACTATTTGTGTTTACTGGATTGCTTGTTCCTTGACTATTTGCATCTATTGTATTGCTAGACTCTCAACATAGAATAGACCTTGATACGTGCATATAATCAAAATGGTATAAAAGCATAAAGAAGGGCGGAGATGAGGTGGGGGTGCTAGAGAGGGGAAATGGGGAAAAGGGATGACATTTATATTGTAAATAAATAAAATATCCAATAAAAAATAAAAGGTATTCAAAAAAATACTATGAGGGGAAGTGTTGTGATTCAGAGCAGAATCCCAGCACTAAGGATACTAAGGTAGGAAGACCATTTGGACCCCCTAGTTCAAGCATTGCTTGGATAATCAAGCAAGGGCTTCATCACAAAAGAATGGACACTTCATTCGATAATGGCATTGATATTTTAAGGATATTATTTCTTCCAAACCTTAATCAGGGAGCGTGTGATTGTCTCTGTCTTCTGTAACACTTTCTGAAAACAATTTGTACATTTACCTGCATGGATTTCTCATCTTCAAAATCAAGTGAATTCCCACATACTTTATTATTTAGATTTAATTATAAATAGTAATTTCTTAATTTTGGTTCATTATTATTTCTGTGATTCATTATTGGTGTGTAGAAAAAGAACTAATTGTAGAAACCACAAAAATAATTATGTGTGCTAAAGCTATGCTGGATTAACTGATTATTTTCAAAATTATTCTCTGGAATATTTCAAGCTTTTAACATATAAGACCATACCACCTGTGACAAAGATAATCTTATTCTTCCTATCCAGTTTGGATGCAAGATATTTCTGAATTCTGTTTGTTTGTTTGTTTGTTTAATTTGTTTATTTGGATAACATTTCAATTATTGTATTGAACATCAGTGCCCAAACTGGGAACATTTTCCCTTTTATAGTCTTAAAGGAAAATGTTTTCAGATTTTACCATGAAATATAATATTGGCATGAATTTTCATATATGGCATTTCCTATAAGATGTTCTACTAGTTTGGAGAATGCTATTTTTTAATGATAACATGTTGAATATTTTGAAGTATTTGGTGTTATGACTTACTATTTCTCTGACTGTATGGTCAATACAAGCTTTAATTAACTCTGCTGGTTTGGATTGATCTCATTTTTACGTGAACTTCCTGAAAAGCTTCTAACCCTTCATCCACTCTGTGCTCTCTTCTCCGTGCCACAGGATTCTCTCTGGGCTCCACTGTGCAGGCTCATACAAAAGGAATCTGGATGTGGTGTGTGCCTCACCCACACAAGACAGACCACATGCTTGTTCTGCTTGACACTGAGGGCCTGGGCGATGTGGATAAAGTAAGGATTGAGGATTCAATTTGCAACTCAGCCCCTCATATCCCAGCATTCTGAACTTTTACATGAAATAGTGGACTTCACTGTAATATGCCTTGGTAGTTTCAAGCACACATCATGTAACTAATTTTAAGTACCATTACTAAATAGGCAGACTAAAAGAAGAGCAAGATGTTCAGTTTCCAGTATCCCAGCTATGAATGATAGGCTATCACCTAAATCTGGTACCCAAACTTAGGTAGGTTCAAAAGATAAACTCAAGTGTCTCAGATCTTTTGCTACCTAGAATGTCAGTTACATATTTGAGTTTAAAGGTCCAGCCCTGTTTTCCAATTGCAGCACAAGAGGAAAAATTAGATGAGATTTTAAAAACAGCCAAGACATTAATGAATCACATGAAAGTAAATATTCTCATTAACAAAGAGAGAAATACTTAAATCTACAGTCTACTTGAAGTTTTAGAATATCTACAAGCATCCACTGTCTGTTTTGCAATTATTGCCAATGGTCAAAAGAATGCCTTCATATAATAAGTATAAACTAAGTAAAAACCTTAGTAAAAATATTCAAAGTTCACCTGGAATCCAACTACTTTTGCTTGGAGTATTGTGGAGGTTTTAAAGACAATAATCATTTTACTAGGCACCATGGGAAATACTGGCTCAGTGTGCATTCTGTTGTCAGTGCTCACATGAAAACTAACACACAACAAACCACACTCCTGACACATTGATGTTCTGACTTCCAGGGTGACAACCAGAATGACTGCTGGATCTTTGCCCTGGCTATTCTTCTAAGCAGCACCTTTGTCTACAACAGCATGGGAGCCATCAACCAGCAGGCCATGGACCAGCTGCAGTATCCTTTCTGATGGAGAACATCATCTCATTCTAGAAATGCAGTAGTCAATGTTGACAGATAGAAGACACAATAGTCCCAGTGCAAGGCATGTACTCATCCATGGATTCACACTTGAGTCAGTATATGGCAAAACCATGAGTGGAGATGGAGGAGGTTTCTGAGGATCCTGTTCATTCACTACTTTTCCTTAGCTACTCAGCTATGTGACAGAGCTCACAGATCGAATCCAAGCAAGATCCTCACCTGACAAGGACGATGGGGTGGAAGACTCAGCTGAGTTTGTGAGCTTCTTCCCTGACTTTGTGTGGACTCTGAGGGATATGACCTTGAAGATGGAAGTAGATGGGCTCCCAGTCACAGCAGATCAGTACCTGGAGATTTCTCTCAAGCTCAAGGAAGGTACAGGAATGGATAGTTGTAGGAGAAGAATGCCAGAAAAATAATATCCTTTGGGGTGCTTATATTTAATTATTATTTCTATACTTTTGCTACTTTTCAGAAACAATTCCTATTTAGCATCTGCCTGGAAAATAGCCAATATTAACTATATTAACTTATACGTTTCTCTTCTGAGTACTGTTATCAGATCATGTTCATCTCTTCACTGGGCTTGGTGAGGCTACATGTATTCAAAGACTGGGATATAGTGGGAACATTTATTTGAAGACATTCTTAAATGACATATTAACCTTTCCACCAGCTATTCACCCTCCTTTGGAAAAATTATTTCCCCAGATTCCTGCAAAGAAGTTGAAAAATACAACCTACCTCGACTCTGTATTCGTAAGTTTTTTCCAAAAAAGAAATGTTTTATCTTCTATCCACCTACTGAGTGGAAAAAGCTTCCCCAGCTGGAGACACTACAAGAAAGTGAGATTGATTCTGAGTTTTTGCAGCAAGTAGCAGAGTTCTGTTTATACATCTTTAAGGAGTGCAAAGCCAAAACTCTTCCAGGAGGCATCATTGTCAATGGCCCACGTGAGTCCTTGTCTTCTTCTTCCATGCATTACAAGACAAGGGGAGAGTTTCAGCTTTCAGAAGTATAGGGGCTATGTTTGTTTATGTGAAATTCTAAACAGCTTCAACTGTTCTACTATATTTTAATTAGTCAAATCTTTATGTGGAATACTTATTGAAAACTTAATTTAGGTATGTTAAACCAAGCTAAGTTCCTATATATTACTCAACATTAATTCAGCATCCAACCAACATATGTATAGTCATTTAAATTTACATAAAAATAAAGTGAAACTATTTCAGACCTCTAAGTGAAATTGTTAGACTGTACAGCCTTATTTCTCATGGATACCGTAATGAAAATAAAGCCATTAAAAAATTAGTGCACTGTAGTGGGGAAAGGAAAAAATGCAATCCACATCATCGCTGGCAAGGGGATTGCATGTTCTCATCTCATGGTGACTCTGACCCAGAGCCCTGAAATCTCTCCACATAGCTCACTACGTTCCCATCAGCAGGTGGCTGCCATGCCAGCCCCACACATCCTAATTCCAGTGACTGGCTTGGGTGCCCTGCCACTGTACCTTTTCTCTCTGCAACCCAATTGAGTTGCTGCATGAAAGAAAAAAAACACACAAACTTAGTTCAGAAGCAAGATATAACTCAATTGCTGGGTGCAACAACTAACATCCTAATTTATAAGCCATATTAAGTTAAATCCTTCAATAGCAGATACAAATAGATCTGCCACCTGAAACAGGGGCCTTGACTACCTACATTTTTGCCTCCATGATCCTATCCTCCAGCCCACTCTCCTGTCCTCTTCCACCATCCCTCTGTTTGACTGAAAAGTCCTGCGTATTCACCCAGTGATTGGTTTCCTTGAAATCTTTGTTCATTAAAAGGGTCACATGAAGTCACCTGAGTACATGATTCACTCCAGGCTGTCAATCCTGGGGAAGTGGAATTAGCATAAAAATACAAATAGCACCAGGGCTATCCACAACAGTGCACCTCAGAAAGTTTCTATAAAGCAATACTAAGCTGGAATGAGACAAGAATATTTTTGATGAGGAAAATATTACTTTCCCACAGATATTTAACTAAGGTGTTTCCAAGGGATTAATATAAAGGACTCAAAATGCAGAAGGGAAGTCTGGTTTTAAACAAGTTGCAGCACTGGGAGATCCATCTTCAATAGACATAGCCCTGCCTTATCCTTTCCTTAGAGAAGAGGGTTCTACCCAGCTGATGTCATCATTTGCTCTCTGTTTGTAGGACTAGAAACCCTGGTGCAGACCTATGTCAGTGCCATCAGCAGCGGGTCTCTCCCCTGCATGGAGAACGCAGCTCTGGCTTTGGCCCAGATAGAGAACTCAGCAGCAGTACAAAAGGCCATCACCCACTATGACCAACAGATGAGTCAGAGGGTGCAACTTCCCACAGAGACCCTACAGGAGCTCCTGGACCTGCACAGGACCTGTGAGAGAGAAGCCATAGAAATCTTCCTCAGGACTTCCTTTAAAGATGAAGACCATTCATTTCAAATGAAATTAGGGGTAATTTCCTCTCAAGTTTTTGTGGATCTTTGTTGTATAAGACAAAGTACATATCAGACAAACAAAGGATTGTTGATTTTGAAGGAAACTACCCTTTGTAACCTTTAAAATGGTGGAACTATCTATTTAGTTTCATCAAAAGTTTCATCAAAAGAAACCATTTTAAAGCAATGGACCAAAGTTTGAAATAGTTTATAATACTCACCTTTAGTTTAAGTCCATATAACTGACAATTGATGCTTTAATCAAATTATATGCTTACTGTTATTAGACCAAGTTTCTTTTTGTGGCCAAGAGAAATGACCTTGTGGTCTCAGTGATTATTTTAAGTTATACTTTGTTTCTTTCAGAGCATTCATAGCAGCTGTCAGTCCAGTTTAAAAGTATAGTTTCAACATTGGGTTTGTCGTAATCCTCTGAACATCATTTCTAATAAGGAGTGGATTCATATGAAGGTTCTAATTCAAAGAGCCACAATTTTCCCTAGGCTTCATTAAGTTTCTGTGGACCTCAATGTTTTGGGGAGGCCCTGGGAGAAATTCTGAAGGTTGCTAACATCCTTCTCTGGTTATTCTTTTTAATACTTATTTCATGATGCAGTCTCAGCTAGAAGAAAGATGGGACAACTTTTGTAAACACAATACAGAAGTGTCAGCAAACCATTGCTGGGCATTGCTTCAGGATATCTTCAGACCTCTTGACGAAGGTGTGAAGCAAGGCACTTATTCCAAGCCAGGAGGTTACTATCTCTTTCTTCAGGAGACACAGAGGCTGAAGGAAAAGTACCATGGACAACCAAAGAAGGGCTTACAGGTACTCAAGATGTTTATTGGTATGTTCTACACCACTGCTGACAAGCCTCCTTGATCCAACCATTCAGAAAATGTCACATAGTTATGTGATTCATGACTATCTTTTAACTCTCCATTCCAGTCCTTCCATCTTTGTGTCTTTATCTCTCTGAACTATTGTCTCCTTGAGGATTCTGTATCTCAATATGATTTGCCCACATATACCCACAAGATTATTCAACTCAATGCCTTAGACTAAATGTACAGAATAACATTTTCCCAGTGTCAACCAGTAGAGACCTACATTTGGCTGGCTTAGATGACTTACCCATTTTTATTGTAAGAAATCTTGGATGAGAGGAGAAAGTCTTAAGGATGATGGTAAGACAGATAGAAGCCCTACAACTAACTCTATGTTCTCCGAACTCTAAGGCTGAAGAGGTTCTGCAGAAATTCTTACAATCCAAGGAGGCTATTTCCAAGGCAATTTTACAGACAGATCAGAGTCTGACAGAAAAGGAAAAAGAGATTGTAGGTAAGAAACAAACCAAAATACAAAATACTTACAAAACCTTGTAATGCTATAACTATTTTCCTGTGTTTAAAAGATAATTCTTTAACTGAAACATGAATAATAAAGTCACTGGTGTTATAGTAGCAGCCACTTCAAAAGTAAAATGGCCTCAGGATTGGTTTCTATCAAATAGTGACAAAAATGAAGGATTGCAGAGATGTCTCAGTGGTTAAGAGCTATATGCCTTCTAAAGGATCAAAGTTTTATTTGCAATACCTGTCTAGTGGTTCACAACTGGCTGTAGATCCAATACCATGAGTGCTCACTTCTGGACTACACAGGCACCAGACATGCACACGGTGCACAGAAATAACAAGAAACTGTGGGAGGAAGCAGGAGCTAATACTGTCTTCTCCAGGGTGGACTCCTGTGACAGAAGGCCAAACACAGGTGGCACAGCTGAAACACATGTGTTTATCACAATTCTAGAGCCCAAGAATCCAGAGTCTAGGATGGTCAAGAATGCTCTCTCTTGGTATCTTGACTATCGTGTTACTGCATCCTCACATGGTAGAAAGACTGAACTCTGATTTTCTCATCTTCTTACAAAACAACGATAAACTCACATGATTGCCATCATTCCCTTCTCATGTAAATTACCTCACCAGAATTATACACCTAGTTATATCACCATACTTTAACTGTAGTTTAAGCCTATGAGTCCATAGACAGCACTAGCATTTAGTACGTTCATGATCTGGACCTTTGTAAAAATTCTTTCTCCTTTCTTAGTGGAACGAAAGAAAACTGAATCTGCAATGGCTGCTGCAAAACTATTGGAGGAAACACAGAAGAAAAATGAGAAGTTGATGGAACAGAAAGAACGAAGTTATCAGGAACACATCAGACAGCTGACTCAGAAAATGGAAAACGACAGAATCCAATTAAAGACAGAGCAAGAGCAGACATTATCTCTAAAACTTCAGGTATTCTGTTATTTTTATCCACCAGAATCTTTAATTAAAACCTCCTTGTAGAGGTTAGACAGTCACATGGTATAAGGGATTCTTCAGCCCATATTCTGTTGCAGCCCCTTCAAACTTACTCGCCACTGTGCACTGATGCAAAGCCACTTGCTCACATTAAAAAAGTCCTGAGAATCTTAATTTCCTAAATTGCCACAAACAACAGCCATCCACTGGCAGGCATTGGGCATGTATTTTACAAGCTTTACATTATTCTTTAAAATCCATTTAAAACTTACATTTAAAAATATTTGAACTAGCTGGGCTGTAGTGGTGTATGCCTCTCATGCCAGTACTTGGGAGATAGAGGTAGATCTCTGAATTCAAGATTCAGATCTCTGAATTCAAGGCCAGCCAGAGCTACACAGAAAAATCATGACTCAAAACACAAAAAATTTAAATAATCCAAAACAACAACAGCCTTGTGGACAATTTAAACATTTAAGTTTCCACATTTAAAAAGAAATCAAATGTATCTTGGCACAAAGGTCCCCATGGGAACCCCAAAACTTCGCAGGGTATTGTCAAGGCTGGTGCCTAACCAGAAGCTTCTCTCCTATGGATTAACATTTATGATACTGTTAAGTATTCTGCACACTACAGAGGAAAAAGGCTATAAGCCCTGTGACCTACAATGGCCTGCTTGTAGAAGGCACAGGTGCAATAGTGATACACACTACGGTAATAACCAACCACTTTTTGATTGGATTCAAGGGCCACACTTGACACTGCTAAAGTGGCCAAGAACCTGAGACTAGATAGTTCATGAGACTAGGGAAAACCCTACTACTAGTATTTTGCTAAAGAAACCTATCAATTAAGTGACTCCTAAAGACAAACTGCTATACACATAGATCAGTGCCTTTTCCAGACCAAATCAGAGAACAGTACGTGATAATTAACACAGATGGGCAATGTGTACAAAAAGAGAGACTTTGCAATGCTCAGCCCTAACTGGGATTCTTTATAAAACCCCTCAAATCCCTCAGACAGAATTCAAGGATCTACACAGAAGAGGAGGAAGAAAGATATTAAGAGCTAAAGGTGGTAGATGAACCAAGGAAACAGCATTTTCCAGGTGTAACAGGACTGATGCACATGAGAACTCCCAGAGACTCTGGCAGAGTGCACAAGCTCTGAAAGGCTCAAGTTAGGCAGGGTCCCAGGACTGAGAGAGAGAGAGTTGTACACAGGGTCCTAATACAATTGATACATACTAACAAAGAAAAACTAAGTTTTCTACAACGAAGTCTCAATGAGACTATCAACTACACTTTAGGGTAATCCCCATGCTCACAAAGAATTGAACAAAGTAAAGTATACTCAATTGTATTTTTATACTCTCTTTGCATTATTGTGCTTTATTTTGGCTTTCGTCTTATTGATACAAGCATTTGTGAGTGTGTGTGTGTGTGTGTATACTTCAGTCCCAGGAATATATGACTGTGTGTGTGAAAATAAAACCATCTATATGAATACAAATGACAAGGGGGATAGGCATGAGAAAATGGAAGGTGGGAGATCATGAAAAACAATCTGACCAGCATATAATATAGATTCATATAAAAGTGACTTTATGTAACATAGTAACACACACACACAATGAGTGTGCATAGTGAAGGATTTAAAAATCACTATACCTTATTAGGCAATTAAAAGAGGCCAAACGAGTGACCCAGTGCACCACTGATGGTGCAGGTAACCCAGCAGAGAGGTGCCATGCAGCACTTCTAAATATGTGCATTTTAATTGACTCTTCATTTGAGGAAAAGTAATATGAGATGTTCCTAAGTAAATGTTTAGGAGAGAGATCACACAATTGTGTGTAGGTTGGGTGAATAACAATCTGGTTTTGTCACACCTTGTATAACTCTGGGAGCACATAGAGTAGAAAGACACATGACCAACTGACACATGTTCAGGCTTGCAGTACCTTCCTGGTCACAGTTTCTCCTGGAAATATGAGTTGAGTCTAAATGTTAATTCAGAAATGTACTGTAGGCCATCAGTCCTTCAGGTCCTCCCCTGCTATGTCTAACTCTAATATGACATTTGGAACCTAATGTACAATTCCATAATGACACATTCTCATTCATTCAGAGAGTCATAGACTTAAATTTCCATATTCTTTTAGGTAAAAAGTTGCCTGTCAGTGGGTGTAGAGCAATAATTCTGAGACCTTATGGATGCCTGTGGTACTCATGACAATTACCTTTTAGTAAGTAATGGTAAAGCACGTGTCTGTATACATCCTGTGATGAGCAATTTAAAATTATGTTTACCCACAGTTTATAGAATTGTAGTCTCAATACCTGGGGCCTGTCACACAGAAGGGAAAGTGTGTGTGTGAAGAAAACAAAACAAAACAACTATGCTACATAATTGAGAGTTGAGAGAAATTTGCCTAGATTTAGGTATAATGAGAAAACTCTCCGTTGATCCACAAATCCCAGGAGAGAATTACATATCAAACCTTTTCAGGGACTGTAACTATACACATTACATTTGACCAAATGAAAAAGTACCAGGGAATGTAATAAAATCTAAAAACTCAGGATAATGATAAGTACAGAGACTAACAAACAAAATTTAAGAGTGAATGCCAAAGGTCTTGAGGAATTGTTGAATTATTTCAAAAGCACTAATGAGAAAATTGTTTTGTAAGTTTTACAATATTAATTTGACATTCAATATTTTATTTCCCTATTAGGAGCAGAAACAGCTACTCCAAGAGGGGTTCCAGAAAGAAAGCAGAAAGCTACAAGAAGAGATGAAGAATGTGGAGAAGAGATACAAGGACAAAAGTATTATATTATGCATGATAAATAGAATGTAAAAATATATAGAACAGGACTGGTAAGAGGATTTAGGAGGTAAAAGTTACATCTTGTGAAACCTGGAGACTTGAGTTCAGTCACCAACACCTATGTAAGGTGGAAAGAGAAAATGAATGCCACAGAGTTGTCTTCTAATTTCCACAAATGCACAGTGGCACATGTGTGCCCTGGGTCCATGCACACCATATGTACATGCAATAATAATAAATAAAAATTGAACATAAAGGGTAAGAGTTTCCAATAGGATACTATCCAATCAGGGAACAAGTTTAATGAAGAATTTGGAGCATCTGTGAACTCCCATTGCTTCATATTTGAAATCGTAGCATTTATTACATTGCTGATCCAAGAGTTAGGCATTTATACCATCACTGAGCCACAGTAGTGAGATCTATACATCACTGACCTACAAGCTGACAAAATGGAATTACCTAGAAAAACCATTTCTCCATCTTAAGTTCTTCGTTTCATTTTGAACTGGATTTATGCATAGCATAACTTTTACTGACTCCTGTATTTGAACTGTACATCCTATTAGCTAGAGATGATATAAATTATCTAATTAAGCTGAATGAGAGGAGAGAGAGAGAGATCAAGAAGGCTCTGAGAGTTTACATTTTCTTCTCTACCTGTGTAATAGTCTATTCTCTTTAGCTCAGTATTCTTACTCCCTTTTCATGTGCACTAAAGAGTAAACCAATTCCATAGATATTGCTGAGTTCATTTTAGCCAACAGGATCAAGTCAAAATAGTTTCAGTGAGTAACTGATGTATAATTAACAAGTGTTAGAAAAGTGTTTACACTTGGCTCTGAATTTAGGGAGAGCCATAGAAGCGTGCCCACATACACACACACAGAAACACACACTCAACCATCTCTCTATAAGCCTGATAGCAATTAGAGGATATCCTTAGATATAGGTATATTTGCAAGAAGAAAAGTAAAAAATGAACCTTTACTCCTCAAATCATACATTGGTGAGATATGTCAGAGGCATTATGGTCTTTCCAATGGAAATGCTGTTACCCCAGAACTCCATGTATCCAATGGCAAACTACCAAACAGGTGTTGGCAGAAGAAAATAACATGGCAATCTTACATTTTTCCTTTCTTTTTTTTCAACAGTGGATCGTATGAAAGTTGAATCTTCAAAGACTACAGCAAAAGTAATAGAAGAAGCACAAAGGAGGTATGGGCAGATGTTGGAAGAGAAAGACAGGAATCATCAAGAACAAGTCCGACAGATGATGGAAAAGGCGGAGAAAGAGAGAGCACAGTTAGTAGCAGAGCAAGAGAAGAAGATGACTCTTTTCCTTCAGGTATTCCATTGTGTCATCACAACCCAATGGCAAGGACATTGACTAGAGGCTTGTCCAGTTGAGTTAGGTGAAGTATTGTAGCCAGACACTCTACTGTACCATTATAGTCTTTGTGTCTGTATCACAGCAAATCTGCAATTACTAAAGGCTTCTTACTGACAGTCTATGAAGTCTACATTATTCTCTCACTCACTATATAGTATCTAGTGGTCACAAAGCACTGTGCAAAAAGCCTTCAATGTGTTGTGTATTATATCTATATCAAATGATACAGAATTGGTTACCTTTCCTAAAAGGAAAATACTGGTTGCAAACGAGACAAGAAATATATAGCATATATGGCCTGCTTAGTAGAATCAATAGCAATTTTGTCTTTGTTGAGATAAATAGGGAAAATTCTCTCCTCACTTTTTTATGCAAACTGCTTTCTGGGCTTCCTCTAAATCTAAAGATTCTGTATATTGGTCCAGAAATGCACTCTGGGCAACTGTAGTCCTGATCTCTTCAATTTTATTTTCTTGTTAGTAATAATCCCATTGGAATTTATTATCTAATTATACCTGCATCTGAGCATCATGGAAAAATCCTCCCAAGTGACTCTTATCCTTCAGTCAATAATTCTGAAATGGAAACCCACACTAGAGAAGGGGGAGGAAAGAAGTGTGTTAATTACACATGATTGTTTTCCCTATTATGTCTATCATCCCAAAGTAGAAGTCTACATTAACAATAGTTGAGGGACTTCACGAGCTCTTCTAAAGACTGTCCAGAATTGCTTGAAAAAGAATACCAAACAAAGGAGCCTCAAGAGAAAGTAACACGCTGTAAGAGAAGACAGGAAGCTAACCTAAAGCAGTATTCCAAGTCTGACTGGGATATTAATTTGAGAAATTAATAATTAAAAAGAGAAATAATTAATATTAATTAATAAATAATTAATATTAAAAAGAGACAATTGTTAGATAATTATGAAACAATTTCTGTGAGACCATTTTATGATATGCTTCTTTAACCATTCTCTTCCTCCTTAGGAGCGAGAACAACATCTCAAGAAGGAACTCTCTGAAGAGAGAAGAAAGCATGAGAAAAAGATTCAAGATATAGAGGAGAAAAACAGAGAATTAAACTTGCAATGTATTAGACTTTAAACTTTTACAACGAAAATACCCCCACACAGTCACCAGGGCTTAAGTTCAACCACCAACTCCTATGTCTCAATCATTAACAATGAACATGAACTTACCATTCTTGCACAGACACTTGCCCATAGACATCACAAGAATGAAGACACTGTATAAAGACCAAGAGTTGCGACTAAGGCAATTTCTTTGATGCTCATTATGAAAGCTGTAGCTTCTCCTCTTGTTTGCCAACAGTTTTAAGAATGGCTAAATGCATACTATATGTCAATCATTTACATTTGCTATAGATGAATATAAATTTTATAATAATATATATTTTAAATAGGGAGATATTTTGTAGTCTTATTAAAGTAGACTTTTCTCTTTCACACAACAATTCTAGGCCCATATTCTGATTTAAGAGATTATTCACACTGTCAAATCTGGTATGAATGACATGAACATAGATAAAATTAGATGCACGGTGAACAAAGGCTCAAATAAGTATCACTACTAGGGGTTCAGCGAGTAGTGTTTCAGCTACCATTAAAAGATGTTGCTTTTTGAATTTTAACTTTATTTTACATTAGTTGTACAAAACATTGGGTTTTGTCCAATTGCTCCTTGAATGCTATAATCTGACTTAGCTTAGATTCAGTGTGTAGAAGTTGCATGGTAGCTAGTCAAGAAAATGCTTGACCCTGTGAAAAGTGGGTGTGTAGAGCTTACAGGTCCCTGTAAAGGAATCCTTTCCTTGGCCCTGGCTCAGTTACATCATGTTTTCAGACTATAACAAGAAGTGCAAAGATGTGTTTTTACTCTTAAAATCCATATCTGGAATAAGAAAATGTGCCAGGGAACTATGGGCACTTGAGATGAAATACTGACCCTGGGAATTTCCTCCATAAAGAAACAACATAAATAAGCTCTGGAGGGAGGGAGGGAAAAGCTACACACTGATCCTTCATGTCTTTTCTGCTTTCTTATTCTCAGTGAAATCCCAACGAGCTGAGTCCTCAGAGAAGACAAGAAAAATGTTGAAGGAAATGAATGAGTTGAATTTGAAGACTATAAATGAGAAACAAAAACAATTTGAGAATCAGTTGAGACAATTGACTAAAGAGAGAGAAAAGGATACAGCAAGGCTAATGGAAGAGCAGGAGGAGATACTTCAGAGTAAGCTTCAGGTAATTCATTATGACATCTTAATTTTCTCATTAATGGCCATGGATAAAAGACATTGATTGATAGTATGCCTGATGTAGGTTTAAAAAACAAACTTTTCTGTGTAGACACTTTCACCTCTATAACTCTGGCAAAGGCTCATCACACACACACACACACACACACACACACACACACACACAAATTATGCTTCCTGGTTCCTGATTCACTGTTATCACTCAAACTACAGAAGCAAATAACTAAAGTCCATAGACAAAGTACTTTAAACACTTTAAACAGTCTTTTTTAGGGTTTCCATTGTTGTGAAAGACACCGTGACCAAGGCAACTCTTATAAAGGACAGTGTTTAATTGGGGCTAGCTCACAAGTTCAGAGGTTCAATCCATTATCATCAATGTGGGAAGCATGGCAGGATCCAGGCAAGCATAACACTAGAGAAGGAACTGAGAGTTCTACATCCTGTTCTGAAGGTAGTTAGGAGAAGACTGTCTCACAGCTAGAGGAGGGTCTCTTCCACACAAAGCAAATCCTCAGCATAGGAATTCAAAGCCTGCCTACACAGTGACACACTTGCTCCAACAATGCCACACATATTCCAACAAATCCAACCCTCCTAATAGTGCCATTTTCATGAGTTAAGCTTATTCAAACCACTGCAACCAGATTAAATATTTCCACTTTAAGAGCACCAGGCCCAAACTGGAGAGATGACTCAGCCATTACAGGCTAGACTCACAACCAAAAAAGAGCACTAGACTTCTCTACCATGTTTTTAATCTCACAGTTTGAGATAGTGTCTCTTTCTGTTGCTCAGGCCAGAATTGCACCCTAAGATCATCCCATTACAGTACCCCAAATACATTTTTATAGCTTTACTTCACTACACCTGCTCTGGTGTCTTCTCTCCTAATGAAGAAATTGGCATTCCCAAAAGATAGAATGTGTTCTGAGATACAATTCCTGAGCGGACATCTGGCATATTTCTCCTACCTCGTACAGTCTACAGTAGTATTGGTTTTGTGATCTCTGTAGGTCACTATACATGTTAGCACATCCTAAAGAGTAGTTTTACCTACCCATGACCACTTAACTTAGCACTGGTTTTAGATGCTATCCTCTTCTCTTGACCTTTACTCTGAGTCACAATATGCACAACTCCTCTCCCAGAATACCTCAGTACTTTACTCTTGGTGCCACCATCCAAATCTTACATGTCCATGTAAAATTCCCTACTAACATATCTTTCCTGAATCTGCAAGTCGTGCATCATTCTTTTAAATGTATATTAATTATCCTATTTACATATGTGTTACATTCATATCACTTGGTTAAAAAATTTTTGAAAAGATATTTTTAAAGGTAAAATATTCTGAATATGGAGTAAGAGGCTAAATACAGGTTAACAGAACAATGCTATGATAACAAATGTAGACAAAACATTTCAGATGGTCAAGTAGAAAGATCACTAAAGCTATGAAGACTCACACTGAGGAAATAAAAATGTGGGCTGGAGAGATAGCTCAGAGGATAAAAGTAGTTCCTGTTCAAATATAAGGACATGAGTTTGAAACCGGTGTATAAACACTATGCAATAGCATGAATTCCTATGTTCCCAACACTCCTACTGAGTGACAGAAGCACATACAAGGGAGTCCTTGGAAACTCACATGCCAGCTAGCCTGGAACACAGCACAAAGCACCGTGAGGATCATATCTCAAGCAATGTGAAAAGGGAGGAACAACACATGAAGCTATCCTCTGACCTCCACATATAGATTTGTTCTCTCTCTCCTTCTCTCACTCCCTTCCTCTCTCCTTCCTTTCTCCATAATTCCCCTTCCCATTCCTCTTCTCCCTTCCTCTCTCCCTCGCCTCCTCCTTTCCCTCTTTCTATCTCATAAACACACAGAGACATTCACACTCATGAGTGTGCACATACATCCTACAACACAACAGACACAATACTAAAAGATACATTTTAAATTTTTCAAAGGGTATTTGTTTGACTATTATTGAAAAATAGTTATTTTATTTTTAGTCATTTAACATTACAGATTGAGGACTTCACTATGCCATTGCCATATTTGCATATAATCAAAATTGAAGACATTTTGTTAGTCTTAAGTGATCTCTCTTCCACTGCTATATTCTTAGTATTTCCCCATTGTCTTTCTCTCCTCCTCTGGATTCCACATGAGACAAATTATCCTTCTTATTTTTAACCTGGCTTATGTCATTTCTATTTACTTACTTATAAACATCAAAATCTATTCTTATTTACAATGGAACAAGATTCATTTCTAGGGGTGTGTGAGTGTGTGTGTGTGTGTGTGTGTATGTGTGTGTGTATCACAAATATTCCATAGCTATTACTTTGTTAAAGAACACCTAGGATGTTCATATAATTGGGCTTTTGGGAACAGCATCATATTAATAGGAGGATACGGGTTTCTCTGTAGAATGGTGACTTTGATTCTTTGGATGTATATCCAGAAATGACATGGCTAGATCCTATGGAAGTTGCCTATTTTCATGTTTTTAGAGGAGCCTGTATATTGACTTCTATAATAACTGTAACAATTTAATTTACATTCTGACCAGCAGCATGTATGGGTTCCTGTTCTCTACACATCCATTATTGTGCTTCCTTCCAGATTGACAGACATTCTAACTGGGGTACTGTGACTGAGTGCTAGTTTTAGTTTCCAATTCATTTCTTTACAGGAACAAGAAAAAATTTTCAATGAAAAAATCAGTAAACAGAATAAACAACATCAGAGAGAAATTGAGAAACTCAAGAAGGAAAATGAATCTACTTGTCTCTTGATGTGAAAGGGTAACCACAGCAGCTTCCTCCCCTGCTCTCTCCTTTCAGTGAAGAATTGAACTGACATGCTTCAGATCATCTCAAATTCAGAACAAAATGAAATTCTAAATAATAAATGTGGCAATGCCTAAGAGCATGTGGTCTTGTACAATTAAGTGTAATTGCAGGATGCTGCTGTGAAATTTCTATACATCTATATGAAGTGATTCCAAACTTTGATATTACAACACCAAGGGTACATGTCATGAGTATTAATGCCATTACTTTTCAATATAATGTTTGAGAGACTCTTCTTAGAAATCATGTAAACCTACTCTGAGTGGATTTTCAGTTATGTGGCAGAGATACATTTAAACCCATCTTTTATATTTAGGTATGGAAAGTCCCCCATATGCTCATGTGTGTAAGTACTGGGTCCTTAGCTGCTGATGCTATCTTGAGAAGTTGGGGAACATTGGGAGATGGAGCCTAGCTTTAGGAAGTAGATCTGGGAGGGAAGGATGCTTCAGACTAGTAACCCAGCCAGCATCTCTCATACCAGCCCTGCTTCCTTGTCAACTGAAATGTGAGCCAGCATCTTCTACAAGCTCTCACAGCATCTCCTGCTGCCAGTCTTTGCTCAAATGATGGGCTGTATGTCCCCAGAACATTACCCTAAGTCAATGTTTCTGTGAGTTACTTCACAATAAGAAAAGCATTAACAGAGAAAATTAATATGGAGATTTGTGCTCTTGCTATGGTTTCCTGGAACCTCACCTGGTTTGTGACACCAAAGTATAAGAGTTTATAGCTGCAGACTAATGAGGCCTTGAGACACCAAAGGGAGAGAGCTAACAAGCTGTTATGAATGGAGAGAGGAATGTGATAACAATGTAGATGTAAAGACCGCTAGGTTGCAGGGGCCATGTTAAATCAGGTGGAGGTAGAGGCTACTGCTGCTACTGTAAGCAATGTGTAACACAGAAGAGTATAACTGTACTGGCTAGGTGACCCTTTGGGCAAGGAATTCAGCAACTTTGAATTGTTTTCCCATAGGTTCAGGCAAGAGTATGACTCACAGCACATGATGTGCCCCCACAACCTCCAGCCTCCACCATCTCCATCACGAGAGCAAAGGGAAGCTATTCTGGGACAGAACCACCATGTCCCATGATCATCAGGCTATAGCCAGCATCAGACTGTAGCCATCACATCAGGTATTCTGGTTTCACTTCTGTAGCCAACAAAGACATACAGAATGAAAATGAAAGTATTTAATTCCACCAGTCACCAATACTACAGTGTGCTACCAATGCCCACCCACAAAATGAGAAAAGGCACATAATAAGGGTTGGTGTGATTCTCTGGGGAAATACAACTAATATGTGCAAATATAGAACTGAATGGAGTGTCTGCTGATTCGGCACATATATCATTACAGTACCCAGTGCTCATGGATATTCTAAAGAGAACCTTATCCATAGTGAAATAAGGGTTCATACAAGACTTTGCAACAACCCACTTTAAAATTTTCGACAGGTTTCAATGTGTAGCACTGGATGGCTAGGTAATCTCTATGTCCAGTAGTCTGGCATCAATTCACAAAGATCCTCCCACCTCTGTGTGCCATCACACCTAGTCAACAAACCTTTCAATAAAAGCTAAAGACAAAATTGAATCTAGGTGAAATGACCTACACCAGCAGTCCTAGTTGGTCATGATGGTGAGGTAGGAATAAAATGAGTCAAGGGCAATTTTAGCAACACATTCAGGGCCAAGAAAGAAAGAAACAAAAGAAAAAGTGGAAAGAGGAAAAGAATAAAAAAAAACAAAGGGAAATGCCATCATTGTATTTGTTACGTACTGAGTAGGCAAAGCATCACAATGAAATCCTATGATGGAATTATTCACTGGAGGAATGAATGGTCAGCAGCTGCCCACAAACACAAGCAGTTGTCAAAAGTATAACACGAAGGATCTGGTCTGTTCTATAAAACACCAGACCAGGATGGCAGTTACCTTTGATAGTCCAAACAGAGACTAGAGATCTTAAAACGAAGCAAGAAGGCTCTGGGGAGGGGGTGGGGGGCTGATGTGCCCTGGTGTGACAAAAGCTGAGCTTTCAGTGTGCCTGTCGTAGACATTGCACTGTCATTAGAATGTAAACCAAAGTCCCTAAGAAAATCTTTTATCCTT